TTGGGTAAGGAAACTGATTTGTTCCTTTTGCACCTGAAGCTGATCTCTCTCTGATGTGATGATTTTCATTTCTTCTGTCATTTCTGAGATCTATTTAAAAAAATGCAAAGACAGCATTTTCATGAATTCAATATAAAATTAAATGTCAAAGTTTTGTTTCATTCACTCTCCTACAGTATTTATAACAGGCTTCTGTGATATATTGGGATCTGAGTTGCCATTGACAATCATGTCTTATAGTTCATTGGGACTGTTATAAATAATGAAATTTCTATTTTAAATATAAATCAGCCTCATTTCTACACTTAAGTAACCCTCATCTCCTTTTCCATTTCCTATCCAATGCCACCACTCAAGTCCACAACCATGGGGCACACAAGTTAAGCAAAAGTTAATTTGACTGTACATTACCCCTTGAAGCTCTACAGAAACAGCAGCAGCTGGTCAAGCCTTGGATTAGGCAGTACTCTTTTCCTGCACACTCGCTATCAAGAGCCCAGAATGTTTTGAAGAAAGAGAGATGCAAAAGAGACTAGAAGCAGATTAACTGGCCTTGTTTTAATTATTGCATAAAGTTTTACCTGTATTTGGAGTTCTTTAATGGTTTTCCCTAGTGCCTCTTCCACACTCAGAATCTGAGATTCTTTTTCAGAAACAGTTTGTTCCAACTTCTTGACAGTTTTTTGGGATTCCTTCAGAGAATTCTGTGTATTTCTCAAATCTTCATGTGCCAAGATGTTCTTTAGAATACAAGAGAGAAATTCCACAAAGAAAATACATGTATTTTGTAATATTAGTAAGCATTCCTTGATTAAAAACAACCACAGAAACTCCCACTCCTATATTCTCCTAAATATTAATATAATTTAAAAGTCCTTCTCCTACCATGGAAACAGTGTCCTTTATATCCTCTCTGACTTGCTCTGTTTCAGCTTGGAGAAACTCCTCTTTTTGCTTCAGGTCATCTCTTTCCTGGGTTAGAGTTTTTATTTCTTCCTGACATTCTGTAAGCTGCTGCAAGACTGCCTGGATCTCCAAGTCTTTGGCCTCCAGTCTCACTTCACTAATCCTTTCCTTCTCTTTTAATTGCTCCAGTTCGTTTAACTTCTGCTGAGTCTGAACAAGACTTTCTCTTAGCTCAAGAAGTTGTTTTTGCTCTGCTTCTTTCTCTTCCAGTTCTTTCATTTTGCTAGAGAGCTTTAGTGTGCAAAGGAAAAGGACAGACACTTGCATTATAATGCAGAACTCCATTATATGTACATGTTCTCACAGTACATATAATGAGCTTTTATGAGCTTAGAAAGGAAGAAAGATGCTAGATAGCAAGGTCATGATTTCTCTGTAAGTCACTACTTACACTCTTGCCCACTATTAATAAGCATTTGCTTACGGAACTTTCCTGTGATGGCTCCTTAGTAGCAAAAGTCTTACTAAAACATACACATCAAACTGTAGCATAGCTTAGGAATTATCAAAACCATAGTTGGAATGTGACAGCCAGAGCAGTGCCCAAAGCTTTGTCAAAAATATGTATGCTTCACTTCCCTGTCTTTAAAATTTTTTAATATTTTTTCCATTCTGGCCAAATGGTCAATTTCTGTTGCTATTCCCTCTGGTTTGAAAGAACTCATGTTTTAAAAGGTCTCCAGTTCCCAATGAGGAAACTTTGTTTCTATGCCTTTATATAGAGTAGGTGAGAGCAGCACTGATAGAAAAAAACTTACATAATAAAGGTATTACTTAAGAATGGAAAAAGAAGAATTAAAAGGTCAATTACGGAAGAATCTAGAGCAATTACATTTCTTTTCCTACAAACAGAGTCCATTGAGCTGACTAAGCCTTCAATAGTCTTGGCACAGAGTAAGTAGCACCCACTCATGCCAGAGGAAGCCAGTGATCAAGTCATTTATACCTTTCAGAGTATTTCTCCAAAAATGTTTTATGCAGTTTTTTTTAGCACTATGAATTAATTCCTCAAGTCTCATATGTAAAAAGGAGCAAGCTGACACTGACCTCTAATTTCACTTCATCCAAAATTGTTTTAGACTCTTGTGCTTCTTTAGATAGGCATTCTATTTGGAGCTTCATTTGTTCATTAGTTTCTGATGCAGCAGTGTATTTTTGTTCTATTTCTTCATGGAGCTGTTTAAGTGCTACATATTCCTCATCACACTTTGTATATTTCAATTGTACATCTGTGAGATTGTCTTTTGATTTTTCAATTTCTTCAGACATATGTTTAAGTCTTATTTCATTAGCAGCTACTTCAGAAAGCAGCTTTTCATTTTCCAGTTTTAATAAGCGTAACTCCTCACATTTTTCAACAATCTGCCAAAAGAAAACAATATTAATATATAGCGGTTTCTAAATCAGTATTTGTCAGAACTAAATAATAAAAACCAGGTACATATGGAGATGTAGGAAATAAAGTGCAGGCAAACATACACGATGCATTGGGTTTTGCTCTGTTGGGAGGAACTGTCTAGCAAAGAATCTTTAAAAGAGAAGGATTCCCAAATCCTGAAATCCCTCTTCTAACTCTTTAGATGTTCTTCAATACTTCCTATTTCTTATGTTTGAGCTAAGACTGGACTCCTAAACTGAATTTTTACATTTATCAATACTTTCTTGATGATACTGATGCCTTGGACTGGCTACTCAGAACAGAGGCAAGACAGAGTTAGAGAATCAAGTAGGTATTTATTAAAGGGCTTTGAAGGATTCACCTTGGGCAGTGCAAAAGCCTGGCAGAGGCTACACCCAAGATGAACAACAGTCACAAGATTTCTCAGACAGAAGTTTGGTCTGTTTGCATATCAGAAGTTAATTGTCCAACTCTAGCTTCAGGTAAAAGACACATTGCCCTGGTTTGCTTTTCCCTCCCTCCCTGATTCACTTTTGTTTATATTTTCCAGGGCCTGAGGTAAGTGGTGTGACCTTGGTTCCGAAGCCCAGAAGGATTGTTCAGTCTGACCAAAATGTGAAGAAAGCTAACTAGTGTTTCATATAGAGTTCAGAGTTATACACTAATGCAGTACAGAATCTGAACAATATAAATGCTAAAACCTTAAGGCATCAATATAGAGAAAGTTGTTAACATTTAATTACATTTTGTTGATTAGTGGAAGTAGACAAAGCATTAATAAGTTTGTAGATTACTTGCCCTGAATAATTTTCCCCAGGATCAAACACCGTTATATTTCTACATTCAGTTGTCAGTGATGACCACAACAAATAGACATGCAAGGTTGGACTAGAAAATAATGCATTATTATAGTAGTCAGTGACTAAACATATTAAACTAAACAAACTTATTCCTCAGTACAAATATTAAATATCTGAGAAGCAACAATTTAACAAACTTAACTGTAAAATCTCAGATGGACTCATGACAACTTTTGGCTTTAAAGCTTCATATCCAATAGGCCTCCATTAGTACATTACCAGTGAAGAACGATACAAAACCAAGAAAAAAAGTTAGATTTTTTTTTTACCTCTTTCTTTTGTATCTCAACTGTATTTGGTAGCGATTGAAATTCTGATAGCTCATTTACTTGTTTCTGTAGAAGTGCATTCTCTTTCAAAGCATTTTCTAGTTCTCCTTTTAAGTCAGCTGCCTTTTTTTCCAGCTCCACATGAGAAAGCAAATCTAGAAAATGAAGTTTAAACTAATAAGCAAGCGCAAGAGAAAAGAGCATATTTTAATTTAAGCAGAATATTTATATTTCATTCTGGATGTTATATTGTTTTAATTCCAGAAAAGTACATTTTACTGTTGCCAACAATTATAAGACAAAGCTCCTGGTCAGAAAATCAGTCAGCACTTCTTAGGTTGATATCTAGTTAATCTTAGATTCTCTCTAACAATCTTCATTAACTTGACAGTGCAAAATATTTTGCAACCTGCAATTTTCCAGAATGTTCAAGGAAGTGCTCAAGTAGTTCCTCCATGCCAGCAATACCAGATACTTTGGTTGCTTTATACTAACCAGAGTCTCCATATATTGAAGAAGACAAGAGCCAAAGCCTTGCCTATCCTCCCACCATTACAGGGCAAGGGGAGGAGAGAGGGAGCAGGGAAAAGGCACCACTTGGACCAGTACCTTTTGGAACTTTACCCTCCATCAGTGAAGTTAGTCTTGTGTTTTCTTGAAATAAAGATTGCAGCTCTCTCTGCAAGTCAGCTTGCATTTTTCGGTAACTGGCTTTTCCCGCTTCTATTTGGCTTTGATATAACTGGACATCCTTTTGCATTTGGTTATGGTCATTTAAGAGTTCATTCTTCAGGAAAACAATACAACATATAAGTCAAACAGAGTAAAAGTCTATGTACTTGACATTTAAATAATGCATATGGTACATTTTCTGTTGTCACTCTGACCAGCTTTGGCCTTGATAAATATGGCAGACTAAGGCACAATTTAATTGCATTCCTGTCGGAGTCCTCTAAGAAAACATGCCTTCGAGTTCAGGGCCATAACTGCTGCTACTATTTTGTCTTTACTGTTGGAAAGCTCAAAGTAAGCTCCATCCCACTTCTGAGTCCACATCTCTTATTCTCCTTTGTCCTCTGGTAAAATTAGGTCTGAAGTCTTATGTCCTAATAACCACTAAAGACTGCTTCTTTGATCTCTCTCTCTCTCCCTTCCTGGTAAACTTAAAACTAACCACCCACTCCTATGGAAAAAGCCTTTACTTTCTTTTTATCTCTTTCCTGAAGACCCATTTTGCACAAATTGCATAATAAAGGTATTACTTAGAGTATTTGGAGAAAGCTAATGATGAGTGTTTCACCACACTGATGGCCTCCTTCACAAGCCTGGAAGCAGACAGGCCCTTAACAGCATTTGGTGCAGTTATAAATGCAGTTCAACATGTACTTGCCATTTTCTCCTTCAACTCCAAATTTTCACTTCTGAGAAAAGCAGATTCTTTTTTGGCATCCAAGGCTATGGTTTCACTGTCTAAGAGGGATTTATTCAGCTGCTGAATTTTTTCAGTTAGTTTATCACAATCTCCCTGAAAAAGACAACACTCAAAGAAGCAAAACATGATAGAGCCATAATAAACTTAATGTGCTCATTTTAATGTGGTTAAGATGTAAGTGCAGGCTTAGAAAACTCAGTAAGTTTACTTTAAGAGGAAGAGTAGCAGGTTGTTTGAGAGACAGGATAAACAGCAGCATTTCTCATAGCTTGACTCCTCTAGACTACTGCTGTATGACATCTCGTAATTACATTTTAAACTTTGTAAAACAAAATTTCCCAAGACCTGTAGTGAAGCAGATGTTGTTCATACCAAGGCTATACCTAAATTTAATCCAACTCAGAAGAACAAAGTAGTCTCTCAACCCAGCAGAAAAATCAAGTTTACCAGTGCAAAAGACGTCTCCTTTCTTTCCACTTCTGCTTTTTGTAGTTCTTCCACACGATTCTGTAATGTTTTTATTTTGTTCTCTTTCTCCTTCAGCTGTTCCAGTTTGGAATTTATTTCTGCCTAAAAGTTGGAGGGGAAGAAAGGAGGAAAGAAGATTGGAGTGCTCAGTTTGGATTTTCAGATCCGAATTTATCAAAACCTACACAGAAAGCCTTCATGGTTCTTAGCCATATCCCCCTCATAGCTGGTAAGATTAACCCAAGCACAATGATGTCTAGCTTGGCCTCAGCAGATATGCTATTTCAAGCTAAACAAACCAAGCACATTTCACACAAGTCTTACTATCTGTAAATTCATGGAGAGGCTCACCTCAAGTTCCTCATTGTACACTTCAGCATTTGAAATTAGATTCTTTAAGTTGGTAATTTCATGCATTAGTTGAATCTGTGGAGCAAATTAAAGCAAAATTGCAGAGGATGTTAAAAGCACCCACGCCCGTAGCTTTAGCTGCCGACACCATAAAAACAAGCCAGTCTATCTTGTGTTTTCTTTTTCATTAGTGTATACTCACACATCTACTTAAACAGCTACAAAGCAAGATGCTGCATATTCTTTCAAAGTGGATATGTGAGATGCAAAGCTCTGTGTTTTAGCTCCCCAGTAATTAGAAAGGATTCAAGTACAATTTAATCTGCAATAGTTTGACAAGCAAGAGCAATGTGACCAAAGCAATTAACGCAGAAATTGTACAGATACAACACTTCAAATTCCAGTCATGTTAAGCAGCTTTTTATGACACAGTGCAGATATTTATGATTTAATCTATTCACTGACAGGAGTGAGAAGATGCCAAAATGGAACTTAAACAAGCCATGAACACATTCAGTGGCATTCTCTGAAAGAAGCCACAAGTAGAAGTTCAGTTAGGAGCTTTTTCCATTTCTGTCTATTGGTCTTTGTTAGGAAAGTTTTACAATAAGCACTCATCTACAAGTACTTATGTATAGTCACAAGCAAAGGTAAGAAAATTCAATCTGCAAATTTAATATTAGTGAAAAGCTTTAAAACAAGCACCCTCCTGTGAGCATTCCTATGTTGTTTACCTGTATAAACTGATATATTTAATCTAATGTATTTGGTAATGTATGTGACATATCAGTATTGCTACAAGTAATCTACTACATGGGTATCAATAAATGTTTACATTTTATGGACTGTCATCAAATATCTGAAAACAAATAATTTAAAAAGCAGTTCTTGCAATGGAAGCTACTTCAGACACCCAAAAACTTTGGTTTTCGGTGTCTATTAGATACCCAAAAACTTTGCAGGGAAAACTAACTTAGGATTTGTTAAACATTAGCTAAGGACGATAGCACATAGAAAGGGTCTTCTAAATAGAATCTTAAATACAAGCTAAATGGTAATATTTTATAGAGCCAATTTCTTTAAGATCTGTAAATCACTGTAGGGAACACAATGCAAATAAGCAGTGACATTTTAAAATTGTAGCCTGAAATAAAAATGCAAAAGGATGTAACAAACTTCAGCATTAGTGTCATGATCAGAAGATCATTACACAGACTAATGTGCACAAGTAATGCCCAGAAAGGTATCAGGAAAGAAATGGAACAATACATCCATGTCTCAAGGCCTCAAGTTACTGGTTTTGTCTGGGGTTCTTTTTGCCATAACTTATTTCACAGTCCAGTCCTTAGGCAGGTAGAACCTAATACAAGTAATAAGTATCTTAGGCTATAGTATCAGAGCATAAACATTTGGATAAACAAGGAACATCTCTAGTAACCACACAAAGAGTGAAGACAACTGAAAGTCAGCATTTCCTATATTCCAAGTTATCCAGTAGATAACATCACTTTTTTTTTGACTTCCTGGCACAAAATACCATGCTTGCTTTTCTTACTATTGTTTTAAAATAATTTCATGACTAAGCTAAATAATATGTTCAAAGTTAATGCTCAAGTAGTTCATAGATTACCAAAATGAACTATCTTGGAATTTAAGACAAGATGTTTCACACAAGAAATACAGGAAATATGGTTTAGCAACCATACCTGAACTTCAAAACAGTTCTAAAATGTATTTAAGCAGCAAAATAACTGCCACACAGAAGTTTAGAGTGAAATTCAGATCACAGATTTATAAAAATAACATACACATATACACATAAATACATGTTTAACCAGGCTTCAGTATGTAACTCTCCAAAAATTTGTCTGAATTCTACACTCCAGGTAAATCCAGTTTAAATCCTGGGTTCATTCATTCATTCTGTTGCTGAATGTAGCTTATAACACCATCTGTTTGTGAATCAGCATGCAAGGCCATGTACATTGAATAAACTCCAGGTAGCATTTGGGCATAGAGGATTCATCTGTCTCTATTTCAATGCACCTTACCTCATGATCTTTTTGTGTTTGCTTTTCCAGTGCTTCAAATTCATCTATTTCTGTTTTTTCCTTCAGTCTCTCTTTCAGTTCATTTATTTCTGACTTCAACTGCTCATTTTCCAGCACTAGATTATCAAAGTCAGCTTGCAGGACGTTGACCTTGTTTACAGCAATATCCTGAAGAAGTGGCACAAGAAACTTTAGAAGCTGTTGCTGCAATACCAGCCTTATTTCTAGCAAATTCAGAACAGACCTACCTTTTCTAGTGCTAATTCTTCACAGAGTTGCACAGATTCTTCAAAGTCTTTCTGGGTCTAGAAAAAGAAACACCCTCAGTTAGCAGATCTACAAGATCAAGCAAGTGGACTATTCTATTCCTTGTTGCTTGTCTTTGCACATAGCTAATTCTGTTTAAAGACCAACGCTGACTGGATCGTTTGCCACAAACCCACAGAAGCACAGAACCATGCCACAGCTTCACAGAGATTCCAAGAGACTTTCTAGCCAGTTTCAGTAATTCTGCAGACACAGAACACTGCTGTTCTACAGAAGAGTAAGGCTGATATTACTGAGAAGCATGTTAGGCATATGTGAAATATCAAAAAGTCAAAACAGATTATGATGTTACCCAATTCATGTTAGGACCAGCAATCCAAGCTTCTTCTGAAATTTGATCTGGAACCATCAGCCAATGGCTGTCATACCCAGAATTCTCTAAGGTAGCTGAAAAGAAAGATGTATTAACAAAAGTACCAGTAGATTTTAAACTGAGCATCAAAAATTTTCTCCTAAAATAATTTTACCACATTGGAAATAATCATTCAATGGCAAAACCACAGCACACTGAGTAAGGTAAGACTTCTGACTCTCATGATTTTCTGTTTTGAAAGGGAACACCACTGAAGTCCAATCCCTACACTTATGTTGACCATCTCATCACGAAGTCTAAATCAAATCCAGAATATATGCTTAAGTACAGACTAGGAGAGGTTTGAGTGTCAAGGAAGGAACCACTCAACAATACCCTGCAAGATATAAGGAAAAAAAGCACCCCACCCTCATACAGAGAAAAAAAGCCCAGAACAATCCACTTACAAGTAAATACATGTTTGACAGGAGAGGTAATAAGGATGTAAGATGTAATTCAGCAACAATACTGCTAAATTGTCTCTTGTCTTCAGTTCAATCTTAGAAAATTTCTTTTCCAATTTTCAGTTCACTCCTTATGAATCCTTGAATTTCTCTGTCTCAACCTGACTTTTGAGTAATGACTTCCTATTCTTGTTTAGGATTTGGGGATTTTACACACACACACCTCTCCATTTTTGGGAAGAGAACATAGGTTGAAATGGATAGTCTGTCAAAGAACACTTTCCCAAAATACTAGGGGGGGTGGGAAGGCTGCATGGCAAGTGTTCATAGACCCTGCCATTTACCTCACAGCTCTCCCCTTTGGTTTAAAGAATTCAAAGCTCAATATCAAGTGAAGTTGGGGTAGCAGAAGCACTTTTCATTGAAAAGTATACATCAACCCTTGGAGTCTAGTTTGTTTTTTAATTTGTGCTATCAAAGGATCAACTTATTCTCTTGGGGGAATGTAATGCAGTGCTTGCAAAGTTATTTATTGGAAATTCTACAGAAAATGAAATAAAATGGTCTGGGTTGGATAGGACCTTAAAGACCATGTAGTTACTTACAATCCTCCACATCTGGTACTGCTGGCAGAGACAACTTCATTTTTTTTGTTTCAGTTGGCATTGCATTTTCAAAGTCTTCAAAAAAGCTCACGTTTGCCTGGTTTATTTTACCAGGAGCCCAAGTAACTCTTCTTCTTCTCTTGGCCTTTAAAAAAATATTTACAGAAGAAAGGATAAAACCAAACCACTAGGCAGAGAGTAAATGTTGCCTCAGGCTAGCTCTGTATCAGTACCTGTATCACCAGTTAACTAGACAGCATTTTGCCATTTCCTCAAAATTAGCTGGAAAGCAAAAAAGTCCCTGCAGTCTATTCACCACAAGGCAACACTGAATTGACAGAATTTAAAAATTAGCCCTTTAAAAATACGAACAAAGAGTGAAAATTACCCATCATATACTTACTCTTCATCGTCAGTATAAACCTATGTATGTAATGTCACTTTTTGCAAAGTATTTCAGAGTTATCAGGTTAAGATCTGAACAGGTGCTTACTTTAACTTTCTCTTTTGAGGCAAAGGAAGCAGAAGTCACCAGCATCTCAGTTAAGTTTCGTATTCTGTCCTCCTGTACTTTTTGAAGAGAATTTTTTTCTTCCAACAGCTGGGCCAGTTGGTCCTTTTCCATTGCATGAATCTGAGTTTTTGAAGACACCTTCCAAAAAGAGAATAGTAATTACACTGACCTCTTAAGAGGAGAAATCACTCCTACAGAAGATACACAATTCCTGATACTTAAAAACAACTACACACGTATACTCCTTTAAGTCTGGAAGAGAAGTCTTTAATCCTTTAGAATGAAAACAACAGTTTAGTCTGTAGTTTAAGTCTACATTTTGACTGTAGACTTAGTATTTAAAAGTGGTTAAAACTCCCAGAAACAACACAGCCTCAGATTTTTCTAGGTATAAAATGAGCATTCTCCCAAATATAACTACTACCTGCTATCACAGAAGATACAAAACATACTCCCAAGTTCATGTTGCAAATTCATTATCATTAAAAATAAGAAATAATTGTTCTAAAATTTTTTTCTAATGATATTTCTAGTTTGCAACAAAAAACATGGATTCTTTGATTTAATGCACTAGAACAGTACAGTCAGCACTGTCGTTTTCCTGTGCTTTGTTTTATTTTCTGTGGTCTAACAAGACTTGCAAGATTCTTTCACAGCTCCATAGATTTTTAGAGAAGGAAAAACATCAAAGACTACATTGTTTGGTGAGAAGTTACTGTTGTTCATTTTCTAAATGCAACTTCCACCTATACATGACCTAAATTTTGCCAGTGATATTCATGCAGTTGCAACTTCCTGCAACTCAAATTGAAGTTAGACATCAGGAAGGAAGGAAATAATATGAAGTTGGGATTTTAGACATTCAATCACTTCTTAGATTAATTAGTTATATGATTTGTTTTGATCATTAATTATATGATTTGTTATTTCTTTTGATCAGTTAAAGTGTGCTATAAGGCATCACAGAATTCTATTTCTTAATTATGTTAACCTACTAATTAGGTGTAACCAATTAACAATTCTGTCAGTTGATCTCAATCAGACTTAGCCTGCACTCAGATGTTGACTATCATTAGTTGTTCTAGACTATTCATCACCTATTCAATTTTTATTCTCTCAATAAAAATGGAAAATACCACTTCAAAGAGCTCACCTACTCCTCCAAATTTAACTGGTTTTGGTTTAAAACAGCTAGTTTCCAAACAGCTATCAGTACTAAGGATTGATTTATTTAAGTTTATTACATACTTCCTCCAGCTGCTTTTTCAAGTCCAGAATTTCTTTGCGGTATCTTTTCAGGAGGGCATCATCATCAAGAACTTCATTGACTTTTGGTGTATTCTTCATTCCTTTGGCTGTATTGGCAAACTGGAAGAACAGTCTTTCATGGATAATAGCTGAAGAACAAATATCTAAAGACTTATTTTGTCCCATATTTCCCAACAGAATTAAAGGGAGAGTTTATTAGATAAAGAGCAACATATAATAGGATACAAATATTTGAATTAGCTTATTTTTAATGTCTTCTAAGCTTTGAAAAGGTGAAGTTTTCCCTTCTTGATATTAAGACCTAAAACGTGAGGCATAACAAGTAAGAGTATCCAAAGTTATTTTTTATTTAATAAAAAGCTCAAAAGGTCTTCAAAAAGGGGGACAATCCTACCTATAGAATGTATATGTTTATTAACAGTTCAATTCCTGTAGTGCTTAACATCTTGTGCTAGCAAAGACTTCTCTAACTAGGTTTGGAAAAGGCAAATGAGATAAAAGTAGTTATCTCCTGCCTGCAAAGTGAAAGAAGGAGCTTTGTTCCAACTTCCAAAAAGCTCTAGGTAGACAACCTAGCACAAGATGATTGGGAAAAGATGCTGTGTAAAAAAAGTATTTCAAATTCTGAGTTTACAGAAGCCCTTCAGAAGAACCAAATCATTAAAGATCCAGCAGATTACATTTCCACTCCTTCAACCTGTCTACAATTACTAGTGCTGGAGAAGAGGTGAGAAGCTTTACCTGAAGAGTGCTGAGTGTCTCATCAAAAGAAACAGGAGTAATTGTACAAATAATAACTGTTTTAGCATTTCCTCCAAGGGAGTTCTGCAGAATTCGAGTCAGCTTGCTGTCTCTGTAATTTATGAAGCTAATGAAAAAGAGGCAACAATAACAAAAAAAGTCAGATTTCTGTATAAACATGATAAATACATTTTCTAGAGGTAACAGGTTATGTGAAACAGTTATCTACATAAGGTTATAAAGAAAGGATTTTAATTTAGGTTAAGGTGCTTAGTTTAGCAGCACCTTATCTTATAACAGGTGTACAAACAGTTGCTTACCCAGAGGGGTCATCACAAAGTTTTTTGATAACTTGACCCAGAATGAACAAGCTCCGATTTATATTGCAGCCTTCCTTCAGTCGAACACCTAGGTACCACACATTTTATTAGGACTATTTTAAATTTATAACAATACTAAGATACATTTGCAACCTGTCAAGCTTTTGTGCTATGTTATGCTCAGAGGGATTGGTTGTCCAAGAGTTAAACCTTAAGTGCCACAATGCACTATTGACCCAGCAGCAGGCAGTACCCAATCCTTTATGATAGCCAAAATAAATACAATAGCCAAATTTTGAAATAAAACAGTAACCAAAAATAAACATTTGGAACTTTTACATAGTAAGCATCTGAGGCCATAAGAACTACAATTTTGCTTCCTGTTTAAATTTTGCAAATGCCCACATTTACACATACAACATACCTGACTTAGATACAAGTTTTAGGTTAGTCACTCTGTAAGAGAGACTTCTACTTGTGTCCCTCTCAGATCACTTTTTTCTGATGAAGGCACTTTTGTGCAGCTTCATGCTGTCACTGTTAAAAGGTGAGCTTCCTCTGAACTAAAGAGTGAGCCATCTATTCCCTCTTCACCTTGACACACAGGTCCCTAAAAAGCTTATTGTGATTTTGTTATTACAGGTGCATCTTCACTGAGTCATCCCCATTATATTGGCTCAGTGCAGGACTGTTGCTGGGCCTGCAATTCCAGAAAAGGCATATTACTATTTAACTGTTTGCACTTTACAGCATTTACAGTATTTTCCTGAGTAGATCCTGTCCTACCAAGGGGAAAAGGCCTTATTTATAAACCGTAAATAACATAATAGCACATGGATCAAATAATTTCCTATCATAGTTTCTCATAGGGGTTAATTAACAGACTTTGTTGTCAGTGGAGCCTCATTTAATACTCACCTTCAGATCCTGTTTGACTAGCTCTTTCACTGCCTGCCAGATCTACCAAGTTCTGCAAATGCATTAAATATTTCACTGGTTAGTTCTGAGGCAATTCACTTTAAGTCCTCATAATTCTAAATCTCTGCTAAGAATTTCATAAACTAAAGTTAACCTTCAAAAAAAAAGAGAAAAGTGTCTGTCATTACTGGAATTAATGCATAGCTACTACACACAACCAATACTTTCAAAGGTACATAAGGGTGTGGAGTAAGTTTGTATGAACTCTATTATTCCACCCCAAATAGTGCCTCAAACTCACAGTGCAACAACCTCTACCCTTGGTCGCAAAAAGAGAAACAGTTTCTCAATACAGAAGTGTTAACTACTAATCTGTGGGGGTTGGAATCCCCCCGGACAGCCGAGAGCTGTGGCAGCCTGAAAGCTGGGACTGTATGTGCATTGTCATTGTGTAATTGCTAAAAGAAAAGGGGGGGAATGTGGGGGCCTGAATATATGTTGTATTGTAAGATCTGTGTGGGTCCGAGTTGCTCCAAATGAGCTACAGCTGCAGGGTCCTTAGCTGGGCAGCAGCTGTAGCTCGTGAAGGTAACTGGAATAAATAGGGGTGGGGTCGAGAGCCCAGGAAGAGCCCTTGAGAAGACAGGAAGGACTGTGCTGCAGAGAGTGGAGAAGAGCCCCAGCAGAGAGGTGAGAACAACACTGCAGTGAAGATTACAACACTAATCCAGCTGTAGGACTCTTTCATGGGAAAGAGCCTAGGTGAGATGATCTAGTGTCCTGTCCTGAGCTGGCTGTGTGTCTCTCCTTGCCTATCATTGTGGAGATAAGGAAAATAAATGAACTACCAGAGGAAAAGCCTCACTCTGAGCCTGGTTAAAAGCCAACTAGAACATTATGGCACTCCATAATGAGCAATTAGCCCTCACTTTAATTTTTGCTTCAGAGGAGTAAAATCCTGTACTAACTCCACTAAGCAGCAGCAGACCAAGAGGGCCAAAATCCCTCTCCCATCACCCCTGTTACTCATGGTTACTGTAAAGTCAGCTGGAACTGAGATGGGGCAGAAGGGCAGAGCAGGAAGAGTGGATACCCTAAGTTATGGTAAGGACAAAAAGTAGGTATTAGTTTGTTGAGATACTGCACGAGCAGTGTTTACACTCAGACCCCAGATCTTTTTCACATGAAGCCAGAACAGAAAGCTCTCTCCACAATGCACATGATTAATTTAATGCTATTTCCAATTCTGAGTAAGAGTGCTCATCAGATTTTAAGCAGGCTCAAATAGTTTCATATTGGTTCCATTCCTGTTGTTTCAGATAATTTTATAAGAATCAAGAAAAGGTTGTAGAAAAGGCTTAACATTACTCTAGATATGTCCAGGGGTACTCCCCCTAGTTTGTGGTATTTCATATACCAAAGAGATGCTAAGAGGGGTTACTGCTGAAAAAAATGAATCTTTTGGCCGTTGCAGATGTAGGCCATATGTTCTTTTAACAAGAAACTAAATTTGAGGATAAGGGAAGTCTTAAGGTTACCTATTTTACAGGTTATTTCACTGGACTTGTCAGTGGTCAGAAACAATTGTAGGGAAGATTTATTTAACAAAATGCAAGAGCACTCTGACATAGTCCCTTATGCTCCAAGAAGGTCATGTAGAACTCCCTCTGGTGGGAACATCTGCTCTAGATAATGCCACAGGAGTCTCCCTCTATACTTAAGAAACATCTGTCAGAGTTAACAACAAAGAGCTCTTGTAAGTCATTATGAAGTACCAATAGTCTCTCAAACAAGCAGTAACAGCAAATTCTCTTGTTAACCTGTACTCCAAGAAGGTATTAAACAGACATTTACCAAGTGGGAAACCATGACTGCTCCATCACAGTTTGCATTTGCAGGGTCACTTCGTTCTCTGCTTTCAATGATCTAGAAATACAATGAAGTGCAATGAAGTTTTTGTTACTTTGAAAACAATAAAACCACTCCCAGTAGTGAAACAGTTTTTACCATTCTGAAGATAGTGTGAGAACGGCTGCTGTGTTCATTCATTTTTGTTTCTCCATAATGGCGATTTCCTGCCAAAAAGCAACATTAGAATACTTCTGCTTATAATCTGATAGACAAAAAGCACAATTTTAAAACTCTCTGAAAAACTTTGGTTTATGAATATAAAGCCAAAGAGATATCCCATGGTTCTAAGTATACCTGATTAGCCAAAACTTTTTAATGCTATCAGCTGACATTGTCTAAATACTTACTTTCTCCTTTTCTGATCCATTCCATAACTTGTTCTGGGGCAACCACCACTTCTTCAATCAGATCTTCTACATATGTATTCCTCTACAGAATAAGCACATTCATAAATTTTACTGAACTCCAAAACACACTTCAATACATAAAGTAAACATTACCAGCAATTATTATGGTATTCATTCAACAGCTGAATGTCTTTTTTCTCTAAACACAAGGGATGGGTAAAGTTTAGACTTTGACCAAAATTGTCAAAGGCAATTGTTGTCTAGAGAATCAAACAATAGATTTAGAAAGTTTCCTAAAAACAGAAGGGCTGTGTGAAATATCCTTGTCATTTTCTGAGGGAATTTAGAAGTATATTTCTCAGTAATTCTTATAAGAATGTATTATACAACTGATAAATTTCCCTTCTTCCTATGTTCCAAAACCATGACCATTTAAGGGAGCCAAAGGAAAAAATACCCCAAAGCCCAAACCAACAATTTTTATTTTCTACAAAACCTTACATTATAAAGAAACTGAAGATGGCATTAATACAGGTTTCTTTTTCTATAGTGATCATCTTACTGAATAGTTCTAGTCACATGGTTATTCTATGATCACAGCAGTATAGCACTTGCTAGATGATACAAAGATGATATTAAAGTAACTCTGTATATCTGTCAGAAACTTGAAACACATAGAGCTTAACTAAACAATTCTTGAGGTTTTACTGTCAAAGTTAAATAAAATATATCATCCTGGAAACCTTGAGGATTAAGTCTACTTTTATAAAGATTTACAAAGATGAATTAGCAATAGCAAACCCAAAGTCACTGTTGTTATTCTGCTCCATCAAATGTTCTTCCGCTAATGCTGAAGATACAATTACACAGTTTGTCCTAGAAAAGTTTTCCACTGGGTGTTTCTGAAGGCTTTTTTTCTCAACTTCTTTTACTCCAAGCAGATACAGTACTTATACATAACATCCACTTACATTAACATCCTCACGAATTCCCAGTGGCTTCTTTTTCCTATTATCGCAAAGCAAATCAGTAATTGTTTCATTGTAGATTTCCATGTATGAAACCCTTAGCAGGAATTCTCTGTCTGGAATCTAATGTTGAAAGGGGGAAGGAAAAAAAATCAAACAAATTAACAGACTAACTGATGGACTTCTTTTAATACAAATATTCTTAAATTGGAGATAAAAGTTTGGATATTGTTTCAGAGATTTCTTTCCCTTCATCCTTGCTGTACATTAGCATAAAACAAGACAATAATTTTTCTTCTATCTCACCTCTTTCCAGCTGCATTAATGGTATACCACTTCTAAGGTTATTAAATTAACTGCCCAACAAAAGCATGACAATAGTTCTCCTACTTAAATGCCATTTCCATAACCAATTTCCTCCTGCTCAGGCTTTTTCCTCTCTGTAAATCTTGTCTTCTCTCTTTGCTTGCTTGGATTTACTTAGCTGCTGCTGCTTCTTCCCCTGCCTCCTTGGTAGAGAATGTTGGAATGAGGAAAGGCTGCACAATGGATTCCAGAAAAATCTTCTTGCCTTTAGTTACTTCTATAAACCCTCTAAGGATACTCTGCACCTCCTTAAAGGAGCAGTGACCATTTCACTTCACTGGTAACAACTACCTGAAACCCTCTAGGCAGAAACAAGCACTCTGCAAATCATGTTTTAGAAATCACTGTTATAATGTACACTTTCTCCTTACTTTTATTAATATTGAGCAATTAGCAATTCTTTTGTAAGCCTGAAATAAGTAAATATAGTGTCATAGTCTGCCCACTAAAAAAAAATAAATCTTTAATTGTTAGGTTTTCAGACTTTTAAAATAGCAGAATAACCACAAAGCTTCAGAAATCTTATCTACCACATTAATAAGCGAGTCCCTGTCAGGATAATTAGCGTGTCAGAGTGACCCTGAGAGAAGTTCAAAGTCTCTTTTCCTAGCCCGGCTTGGAAAAAAAAGCTTGAAGGAGTCAGGGCTCTTCAGTTCTTGGTCTCAAGGCTGTTTATTTTATCTTACGTATAAAAATTTTCTCCTGGCCTGCCGAGGTCAGCTTAGCAAGCCAGCCTAAGGCACTCTGCCTGCCCCCAGGGTGGTGTTATGTCTTTATACTAAAAACTACATGTACAATGTTTACAATTGCTTTCCAATACCCATCACCTATGTTAGACAGTGAGCTTCTACTCTAAACCAATCTGTAAGTGTCAACATCACAGCAGAAGATGGAGGCCAAGAAGAAGAAGGAGAAAGGCTGGACACACCCAGTTCCCTCCATCTTACCTCCTGAACCCCCATTCCCAAAAACCCTATAATCTACTTTTCCACCCTGTGATAACTTCACTGTTATTCTACCTAAGCTGTTGTGGCTTGCTGGTCTTCATATAACGTTGGCCATTTGCTTCATGGGTCATAATCAAAACCATAGGCATTTTGGGCTCTGTGCCAGGGTCTCTGACACCCCTGGCAGGGGTCTTGGCTGCTCAGGACAGCCAGAGGGATGTCCTGGGTCCTGACAAGTCCATATTTGTATTTGTAATCAGTTTAACATATTTGGAAGGTTAAGGTTCTACTCAAAGTTAAGTTTTTGACTCCTCATGTCTCAGAACACTCCTCAGTTTTGTTCTGATTTGGTTTTAGCTAATAGAGTCCCCATCAGCTTTTTGTTTGAAAACAAAAGATGTGCCTGGCTCATCGTAGCCAGGCTGGCAAAGTAACTGCTACATTTAGTCCAATATAAGTTAAGTTCCTTCATAAGCCTCTTGATACTAAAATTAATTTTTATGTAACCATCACAAGTATTACTAGCCCTTTCAATTTAATAGAATTTAATAGAATTGCTCACCTCACAAATAATTTTGAACACATGTTGAATTGCCTTAGGGATAATGCCCACAGAATCTTCATTCCCCATCATTGTGTAAGTCTTCCCTGAAGCAGTCTGTCCATAAGCAAAAATTGTGCCTAGAAAGATAATTAAGTTTTACTAAGTATCTCTGAAATACATTCCAAAAGTTTTTTAAACAGTTTCAAAACTTACCATTATAGCCTCGCACAGCTGACTGTATAATTGGAACAGCTACACCATCATACAACTGCTGAGTGTTGTCACTTGAGTGAAAGACACGATCTTAAAACAAAAACAAAAAAAAGGGTGCGAACCCACTCTATTGCAAGTCAAAACAAGCTGTCATTCAGTATTGCTGACTTCAAATCCAGTACATTTGCATAATCATCTCCAGGTTAGCTCCAATATAAATATCATTGTAGTAGCACTAATGCAAGCTTTTAAAATTTAGTTTTAAAATAAATATTAAGCACAAAATAAAAAAAGACACTATGCACAGATAATAGACAAGTAAAAAAACCCTAAGAATGATGAACACAGTTAAACCGTCATCCTATTTAACCCTAAAAGGTTTTGGCTAATTTATCTACAAGGATAGTAAGCCTGACAAGACAGGTTAATGGTTATACTCTAGCCTCGGGCATGCTTTTACTGAATCTGTATTTTGGGAAAAATATTTGTAGTGACTACGTTCATATTAACAAGTAGAGTTGATCAGTAGGAAAAGACTCAAAGGGAGCCAGCTAGTTATGAGGATCCCACATTCACACCAGTCACTTTTGGGACTGTGTTCTCCCATACCCTTCCCCCTAAATGCTTTGGACTAGCCCTTGTTTAGTCCACTTGTCACTGGATTCCAGATCAATAAATGTGTTCCAAAGCCAATATGGCATGAACCAGAACAGAGAAAGTAAGGTCCGTCAGGAAGCTGACGTCAAAAGCACATCCCAGTGCTGCCTGCACCAGAAATCCTGTGTGCCCCAATGACCCTCCTTGGGAATTACGAAGCTGGGAAGGTTGGGAGGCATTTTAAGAAGCTCAGGGCATTCACCACAGTCGACACGTTCAAGAGAACAGTAGCAAAGTTCCGCATAAGCATCTTCGTAAAGCAACTGCTTTCACATTCTTACCGTAACTAAACGTTTTGGTACCACTCACGTCGGAAACAGTATTATTCTCACTTGTCCAGTGCAGGGACACTTTATCTGAGGCATTTTCTCTAAAAGAAGAAACATTGTGTTACCTTTATTGGGCGAGGACTCTGCCCCCAAAACGCGGGCCCCTTACCGCGAACTGCCCAGCTGCGGGGGACGGCGGCACCCAAGGCTGCGGAGGGAGCCTCCCCTGCCGGCTCACCTGGAGATGAGCGGCCGCACTCGCACGCACACCGTGACGGCGCCCTCGTCCGCCATGCCCGCCCGGGATAGGAGCAGCGGGGCCGGGACAAGGGACGGAGCAGGGAGCGCGCGCCCCAACCGCCGCCGAAGTTTGAACTGCGCCCGCAGCCGCTCCCTATTGGCCGCGAGGGACGCACGCTGTGCGTGGAGTGCACCACTAGCACGAGCTGGCGGGGAGATGTGGGGGGGCGGCCGAGGGAAGCGCGGCCAGGAACAGACGGGTGAGCAGCCCCCGAGCTCTCCTGAGACACCTTCCCCCCCCCCTCCCCCGTCTGCCGGATGGCAGCGGCCGGGGAACCGAACGCTGTCCTCACAGCCACAGCTGCCGGCCTTTTAAACAGCCCCGGGCACAGTGACTGCGCCGCCTCCCTGGGCAGCCGTTCCAAGGCTGGGAGCCCTTTCCATTAAGGATTTTTTCCTAATCTGCCGTGTGAACCTCTCCTGGTGCAACCTGAGGCTGCTTCCTCTTGTCGCTTGTGACTGAAGGGAAGAGGCCAACCCCCACCCGGCTACACCCTGCCGTCAGGCACTTGTATACAGCGATGAGGTCTCCCCCGAGCCTCCTCTCCTCCAGGCTAAACACCCGCAGCTCCCTAAGCGCTCCTCACGGGACTCGTGCTCCAGACCCTTCCCCGGCTCCACTGCCCTTCTCTGGATGCCATCGAGCATCCCCATGTCTCTTGCAGCGAGGCGCCGAGAACTGAGCCCAGGATTGGAGGTGCAGCCCCCAATGTCAGTGATGAGCGGTATCACTGCCGTGCACTCAGACCTCAGTGCCTCAACAGGTTGCCCACTGCCTCTGAATAGTACGGTTTTACACATAAGAGCGACATTGTCATGGGATTTAAAAAAAGGTTTATTTAAGTAAAATGTATATACGTATTGAAGTGAGGCTAGAAAAACAGTGTGAACATCTTGTGGGTGGTAGTTCTTTGTTCAAAGCAGTATCATTTTAGGAAGCAGACTATGTTTGCTTAGTCAAACAAACAGAAAAAGCTTTCATGCCAGTGTGGACAGGTTTAGGGGTGGGGAAGGAGAGGAATATAGCTGCAAAGAAAAGCCTACAGAAATCAAAAAAGAAGGCACACTCAAAAATAATTTCTTTTGAGGTCAGCAAAAAAATGACTACGTTATGAAAACTCTTTTTATGTTCAAACTTTTAAAACAATCTGTTTTCTTCCATATTTTAATCATCTTCCCCTTCCTCTTCTTCCTCTTCCTCAGCTTCGGCTAAGGCTTCTTCCTGCGCAGCCTTGAAAGCCAGCTCCTCTTCCACAGTGGGGTCTGCTGCCTCAGTGATTCCTGGCTCAGTGGGAAATTCTGCCTCTGCCGGCGGGGGCAGCGCAGGAGTGTGGCTTTCTGGATTGTATTTGTGACCCCAGCCGAAGTAGATGTTCTCAAATTTCCTGAAAAAGAGAAGTGACAGATCACATGTTCACTCCCTGGCAAAATATTAGCAGAGAGACCATCAGGCATCCTTACTCTGCTGTGCAAGGAGTCACTGTGGTGCAGATATCCTATAGCAGAAGAATTTTAAGCACAGCACCTCTTTTTAACTGCCCTAATGGTTATTAATACATCTTCTGTTTAAAATGATGAAGTGTCACTGCACTGCACTGCAGTACTGTGTAGTGGAATGACTGTGTCATGGAAATCTACATGGAGGTAATAACCACCTGTAGTGCAAGCAAACAAACATTAGAACCACAGAATGCAGCTGGTTTTTAAAAAGTCCCACAAACACAAGAGTATATGTTTTAAATCAAGGACTGTGCTCAAATACTAATTCAGCATTTACATCCATTAACTTTATGCCAGCCTTTCCAATAATTAATTGTTTTCAGTCTTAAATACCTATTTACTGTTGCTGTGCATATTTAAGTGGCCTTGTCCATCTGTCTCTGGAATAGCTGGAACTCAGTTAATGAATTAATAATAAAGTAACTCTGCCTGCATTAGAGAGGCACCTGTGTGTAGCACATACAGTCAGTGTTGTAACCATGTCAGGTGGACTCTCACCTGCCAGATGCAAAGGCATAAGCTCCAGGCCATCGGTTAGACTGCAGGATTGCAATTGAATATTCTGGGATCAGGTTTGTAGAAGCCTGAGCTGTCCAAGCAGGGATGTTTTTCATGCCTGGAGACAGCCAAACACATACTGTCTATGAATAAATGAACTTGATGAGCCTCTACAAAATACTTAAGCCTGAGCTACAAGACTTGCACAGAATTCAGGCAAGGTTTATGTTAAGTTGCACTACAGAATGAGCCAGAACTCAGAAACACTAAGTGTAGGCACTATTTTCCAACAGGTGGTTTGCATGAGTGGGTAGGTTGCACAGGAATGCTGACAGAGCCCCCCACGTACAGAAAAAATTCAGTAGCACTCACCCCTGGGTCTTTTGTCAAGGACTTTCTATCACTAGCAGATAAATTGTATAGCTATATTTCACCTTGATTAAAGAATGGAGAGTAGAAAAATAATCAGATATTGATGTAATCTAATATTAAGGCTCCCTTATTCCCGTGATTTGCTGCAGTGATATGTTAAAGATCTAAATTCTTATACAAGTAATGTACATCAGTGTATGTGTGTACATATTAATTATTCTATTTACTTACAAATAAACATACATTTTTCTTTTTTCCTAAAAAGATGAGATAAAAATAGCTGAGTGTATTTCAAGTAGTAAGTTGTTTTGAACTTGCAATAACATGACAAGTCTAAATTATTTTTTCCTTTTAATCTCAACAAGATGGTTGCCTAGTAAACCTGATTATTTCAGCTTTAATGTCAATACTATTAACCATTTTGCTTTTGATTGATTTGTAAAAGAACGTGTTTATCCTACAGAGGCAAAGTATATTGCTCCAAGAAGTGTCAGTGCTTAACTTCAAATATTTACTGCTAAATGACAACAATCCTAGTGACTCTCTATCATAAACTTCATATTCCATGAAGAATACCTTCATCTTCAGAGATCAGAGTAAGGAGGGGTTGTCCTGTTTCTTCCTGGCGCTCTTCTTCCTCCTCCTCTTCCTCCTCTTCACCTTCTTCTTCATCTTCCTCTGATTTTTGAGCAGGATTAATCCAAACACAGCGACCCTATAATTGATGTGGAAAAGTAATAAATACATGTAACAATCATTGAAAGAATGCAAGTTAAAACTAGTTAAAACAATTGACTAAGACTCGCACACAGTTAAGGGATAGGGAGAAGAAAATACATATTCCTTAACTGGAATATTGTTAACAAAATATTGTATCCTCTTGGCAGAATGTTCCCCTCATTCACTCCTGCTTACTGTTTGAGAATAACCTTATAGTGCTGTCATCAGCTTTTTGTCATTTTGAATTCTTCAGTTCCTGGCCAGTTTCGTTTATATCCTTGCTAAATTACTAGTTACTGCAAACTATGGACTTATTCCTTATTTTTAAAATATGCCTTGTTACTTGGCTACCAGTCAGAGGAATGTAACAGAATGTTCTTAAGATTCTACTGCATACTAATTTTATTTTTTACAACTACTGTTTTGCTGGTACTAAGTTTAAATCTTATTTCCTATAATTTGCTGTTATTTTACACTAGCATTCTTGAATTGGTAGACTGCCCATCAAATCATCCAGCAATAAAAACCAAATTAGTAATACCTCTTTCTAGCACTAGTCTGATGGAACATGCTTTAAAGTTTTTTTCATTCAAATGTTTCACAGCAGAAAGTATAAACCAAAAAATTAACCAGAGGAAAACACCATGTAAATTTCATTTAGCATACAACCACAAGCTGTCTGGGTTTTAGCATTCTACCCAACAAAAGTGAATGTTAAATATTTTAATCAAATGAGGATCTCAGAGCAGAACACCTAATACAGAAGATTGCAAGAAATGATTGTTATCTATCAGGGCCTAGCTCCATACTGTTATTTAAAGACAGGTTTCAATCTCAAGCATACATCACTGGAAAAAGTACTAAATCTAGAGGGTTCCAAAATATATACATATATATATATATATATATATATATATACATACATAAAAATAGATGGTATATGTAAATACATGCAAGATATTTATGCCTTATATAACATGTATATATGTTTTATATATATGTGGGTTATTTGTTATATAACATATAACAGCACATGTTTTATGTGTAAGATATTTTGGTATTATATATGATATAAAATGCATTTTCTATATAAAAATCTTTCAATCCAACACCATTTCTGGTGAATAGTTTGCATGTGCAGGTGAGGAGTGTCACTCACACTGTTACCCCACAAGCACTGCAGTGTGAGCAGCATCCAAGGCCCATGTGAGCTATGCTGGACACACCTGCTTCAGAATGCCCTTGACATGGTGTGCCCACATGGCCAGGGACTCCACCATTTCAGCCACAGGAGGAGGCTCAAACTCAGGGTTTTCTTCATATGTATCTCCTCCTTCTTCTTCTTCTTCATCCTCTGGAAACTGGTAGAACCCAGTGGGAGAGACGTGGGTTCCCGCTGAGATCCGCGCTATCTGTGCGCGCAGGTAGTTGGCCTCGTTTCCAGGAAAAGGAGGGAAGCTCACAATAGGAGCATCCAAGCGACCAGTGAAGAACTTCTTGATTTGCCTGGCACAGACAATCTGGGCTGGTGTCACTGGAGGCAACTTCACCCAGGGTTTGCCTGGCTCATTACACACAAAATAGACATATTTATTCGTCCCAGTCCCATTTGCTTCTTTTGGGATCTCAGGTGGGGGTTTATAAGTGGACTTTGGTGGTTCAGGTTCTTTTTCTTTCTGTTCCACTTCTTCCTCACCCTCACCCATCTCTTTCTCTTCTTCTGCAACAGTTTCCTCTTCTTCCTCTTCTCTTTCCTCCTCCTCCTCTTCCCCCTCCCGTAACTGTACTTCAGCTATAATATAGTTCATTTCCAGGCCCAAAATTTTGCCCCAGAAGCGACAGGTCTGGATTGGCTGAACACTAATTAGGTTTTTAAAGGCAAGGAATATGTAATAGCATTCATCTTTGCTCAGGCCAATTCCAGCCTGTTCAAAATAAAAGGCTGTTTCCATCACATTTGGTAGAGCAGGCTCTCCCTAGGAAAGAAGATTCAGAGTTAGATAATTATACTTCACTTTCCTGTAGTGCCACTCATCATGTCAAAGTGCTTTGCAGACATTCATTCACTACTTTTTTTACTATCATTTAGAAAAATTAAAAGTCTTTTAGTGGTAAAGATGAGAAGATGAAGGGCAGCTCTTAGAACGCAGGATTTCAAAATTTAAACTCCTAATTACTGCAAAATAAGGAAAGTCAGCATTCTTACACAAGATTTACAAGGAATTCAGTGCTAGGGCATGTCAGCTAAGAGGCCTTTGATGCCTAGAAACGGTGACACTGTGTTGCCTTGTGTTGTAGATAATATAGATTTTATATATTTAGGCACCAGAGCAACAACATTTCTCTGGGGTGAATGTTGCTTGGCATACTGCAGCTCCCTGCAGTTTTTAAACTATTGCTCCCTCTGTTATTAAAGTCTATTGTAAGACTCCATCTGGCTTCAGTGGAAGCACAACTAGGCCAATAATTAAGTATTTCCAGTTGCTGTACCACCCATCTCTCATTTTATGGGGGCAGGTGATCATATAACACAGACAGAGTTATTAGAAGTGGGACATGACAGGGTAGGGAATTTTGAAGAATTAGTACTAGTTTCATATGGAATTTCTCTGGATCTGACAGGTTTCTTATAAAAAAGCAAGATTGATAGGATTATGAAAAAATCAGAATTCCTTTCTGAAGTACCCTACCTTTTTTTCCCATTTTCAGCATCTTATACTGTTAATATAAGATACATACCAAGCTATGGAAAAGATGAAGGACTATCTCTTGTGTGGCTGGTATTTATACTCTGCAATGGTAATTCATTTGAATATATACTGGTTAACTTCATATGAAAATCAGTATCTTGTTAAATGATTTCCCTTGGCTATTATAATTCTTAAATATATTCTTTTATTTCTCATTATAAGATTTCTCATTTTTCCTTGGGTACAAATGCTTCTGCATATAAGCAACTGAATAATCAAAAATCCTGTTTTAAGAAGTGGCTTTTCAATTGTATTAGTTGTCCAGGAAAACCCTTTTTTGTTTTAGTTGGAGAAGGACAGACTGGAACTGCACCAGGAGCTGGAAGAATCGCAACATTCTGCATTCTACTATTTTACAGCAGCAGCAGTGCACAATATTGTCAAAGAATATGTCAATAAGAATATATCTCCAAGAAGAATGTACGTTAAAGAATATATCAAGAATTATGGTCACTTTAGGTAAAGAAACCTTCCTTTTATAAAAAGAAATTAACTTGGATGCAATATTCTGTACTGAACTGGCATATGGGAGATGTCACAAACCTTACTTTCTGTTTATCAGCTCTAGAACATCCCTGATTATAACAGCTCACGATATTAGATTTACATTAGGAAAAAATCTCAACTAAGTAAGTAGATGGGTTTTTCTTCAGAACTAGACATGGGACGAGCTCAGCTGTGAAGATGTTACATGGTGCTGTGACTGCAATTACCTGTACGGTCAGGAGAGGCAGCACTACCGAAGAGAACAACTTCCTTTCTCCTTCCCCTTCACAGCATCTGCCCATCCCTTTCCCTGGTATATTTGGTACCTGTTTCAGTCTGATAATAACTCACCATCTCTTCATCTAGTTCTTCAGGTTCTTCTTCTCCAGCTTCCTTGATGAACAAAGCTTTACACTTTTCTGCAGCTTCAAATGTTGGAGGGATCAGATGTTCATCTCGAAGAGTGTCCATTTTTTTCCGAAACTGCGCCCACTTCACATCCTGGCTGATGGTCTCAATTATGTCTACTGTATTTGCAGGCTGTTCATCCAGGATCTTGGTCAGTATAGTAGCTAAATGATCATATCTGTCATATAAATGTAAATATTGTTGGCTTACTATGCAAAAGTCTTAGAATATTATACTTTTAGTAAAAAAAGTAAAGGCTAATCATCTGGATCTTTGGAGAAATCATTGGAACAGAAGAAAGGGGATCATGGAGCCTTGAGGCAAATTAGGGTTAAAAGTAGTCTGATTATAATTAAGAGCATTTCCATCCTCCATTTCTAGTATATACCCCTCCTGTCTATGAGCTGAATCTGAATTTAAACTTATTCTCAATCATATAAACTTGTATTTGAACTCTCTATAAAATTCCAGTAGGGATTTTGTTTCTGAAAGATGTTGGACACTCGTCTGTAAGTATCACTAGTGATGAAATATTGCCTGTATAACATTATCCCATTCTATATGTACCTTCCTTTGTCCTTTTACCTTTCTCTCCACTCATAGTTCCTACCCTATTTGATTGCGATCCTTTCTCAGACTTACAAGTTCAGGCCAGATTTTGTGCTGGTCGTCAGTAAATAGGCTTTTGCATTCTTGATCGCCAGCATCCGGGCTTGTGCATCGGGAATCTCATCCTCATACGGGCTGTATCCGGGCTGGTCAAGACCATAACCCGGTTCGTGTGGCTGGTAAGGGCCATGCCCACCTTCATAGACATCTTCAGGGTAGGCACCTTCAGGGTAAGCACCTTCAGGGTAGGCACCTTCAGGGTAGGCACCTTCAGGGTAGGCACTATGTGGTTCGTGTGAAGGGTCTGGTTCTGGCGACGGATCCATGCTGTGCCGTGCCCCCGGTGCTCTGGGAGCCTTGTCCCGGCGCGTCTCTGGCTGATGGCTGGCGCTGGCACCTGCAGCTGCCGAGGCGGGCCGAGGTGCCCAGAGGGGCTCGGTGACCGACACCGCGCTTGTCGTGCTGCCCGGGGCGGCCGGCACGTCCCCTGCGCTCCTGCGCTCGGTGCAGGTCCTGGGGCGGCTGAGAGATGCTTCCCCTCAGCCCTCGCCTTACCTCCCGCTACTCCCAGGGAGCCGGTCCCGGTTCCCACGTCTGGGGCTCAGGAGGGCGGCAGCCTGGGGCCACGCTGGGCCGGGTGAGCAGTGTGGGAGCTGTGTCCGGAGCACCGGCGGGCTCGCTGCGGCCCTTCCCGCGGGCCGGCCTGGCCGGGGGCTCGCTGGGGGCCCGGGGTGCGGCCCGGCCCGGCCCGGGGACTCCGCGCGGCCCCTCAGCGGCAACGGCGGCGGCGGGCGGGGCGTCACCGGGGGAACGCGGCCGCGGGCAGGGAGGGCAGCCCGGTGACCCGCCCCAGCTGCCGCGCCCCTTGCCAGAGCGCTTTTGAGCCCTTCTTCGCTGCTTTCACCGGGACCCACGGGGTGATGGCGAAAGGAAGAGGCTTGAGCCTGTTCTGTACGGGGTTCTGAGCAACCTGGTGTAGTCAATGGCGTCCCTGCTTATGGCATCAGGTGAGAAGTAGGTGATGGCTAATATCCCTTCCAACCCAAACCAGTCCTGTTCTGTGAAGCCATGAAATGCTGTCAATACTTTCCGGTGAACGTTTGTGGTATGAATCTTTCAGCTGTCTGCTGAGAGCAAAAGAGTGGTTCTTCAAAAGTTTAATCTTGTTTTGAAAGGTTGTTAATTTGCCTTCATTGCTTTCATGTGTGTTTAAGTGGTGATATGCTGTTCATAGAGTACAAGGGTTTTTCTTTTAAGAGAAAAAATTTTCTATTCCTGGATCCAAGGGTAAAAGACCCCAAGCAGTTAAGATGGAATGAAGGTGCTTGGATAGAAAGCATAATAAAGTGTTAATAAGAGAATTATAGAATCTACTGAGTTGGAAGTGGCCCATCACTTAGTCCAACTCCTGGCCTTGCACAGGACACCCTGAGAGTCACACCACGTGCCCCAGTGCATTGTCCAAATGCTTTGTGAACTCAGACAGATTCAGTGCTGTTACCACTTCCCGAGGGAGCTTGTTCCAATGTCCAACCACCTTCTGGGTGGAAAACTTTTTCTTGGTATCTGACCTAAACCTCCTCTGACTCAGCTCCATTCTGTTTCTTCCAGTCCTGTCACAGGTCAAGAAAGTGAAGAATTAAGGCAACAGGTGGCCATAATCTGAGTTAACTTTTGTTTGCAACGGTATTCAAACTGTTTAAAGAATTGGTGTTATTTCCCAGTGTCTTACTTTGATTTTCATTCGGTCTGTTTGTCCAAGGCAGGTCTGTTTTGCCAGTGACAGTAATAGGTGAATGATCTTCCTGCTCTCATTTTGACCTGTTGCGTTTCTTCTCCCCTCTCCAGTTCAAATGAGGGAGTGATAGAAAATCAGCTTTGGGGGGCACCTGTCATCCAGCCAAAGTGAAACCAATACAGTGCTGTAAAAATCTCACCTGAGTGCCCTATGAATGTTACAAGTTTTGTTAAATAAAGTAGTGCAATACCCGAACTGTAAAATACACTTCTCTGTCATTGATGGATCAGCTAATGAACCTTTTAAAAAGTATGTTTATTTTGGATATAAATAATATTATTTATGATATTATTTATTAGAAGCAACCAGAAAAAAAAAATAGCTATGGCAAACTTCTGTTACATTCCAAGAGAGTAAATGCTAGAAGTATCATTGAGGAATCTGACCCATTGAGGAGGAGCAGCAGAACATACTTTTCCATATCCTTAAGGAGTGGAGCATTTATATCAAGAACTAAAAAGTTTCTGCATTCTGTTCCTATGATTCCAACAGGTAAGACATGATAAAAAAACTTAGTTCTGCTGGGTTTCTACTTGTAGAGGTTTTTTAATGGATCTTTGCAAGGAATGTGCCCAGGCATTTTTGCAGAACTTGCCCATTGACTGCAGAGGGCGATACAGTACTTGCAAATTACTTGTGGATTCCTTTTTATTTGAGTTCCGTATCTTATATTTGGAGGGAAAATTTGTTTAGTACTTAAATTCTATTAAAACCATATGAACTAAGTTAGCTTTCTGCTTGTGTGCTGAGTGAAGTAGCTGCTCAAGAAAAGGCAAGTGCTTTGTCTCTTCAATTTCATTCAGCAAAGAAAGAAAACTGGGGCCACCTATATTGCAGTTGTCTAAGTTAGGATACATGTGAAATGTGCAAGGGACCAGGATAGGTAACTCATCAGTGCAGAAGGATGTTTCACCAAGGTGCTATGATAGTCTTTTGTTGATAGACAAAAGTAGGAAATGGATATGTGCAATACTGCAGCATAATCATACTCTGATCATTGTCAGTATCATGGGTTAATTAGCAGAACAGTAACTAAAGTAGTAACGTTGTCCCTTTCCAAAGGAGGTTTGTATTGTCTCTGCTGTGGCCAGGTAGCCATTGTTTCTTGTCCAGTGGAATCAATTCTGCTTTTCAGTAGTTTTCTTTTTTTTTTTTTTTTTTTTTTTTTTTTTCTAAACTGAACTCCTACCTGTTATTGGCTTTGAAATGGAGGTCCAAAAAAAGTTGCACATAGAATTGGACAGCTGTCACATTTCCATACAGGTAAATTTGTGAATTTTGCACTAGAAAGGGAATAACAGGCATAGTGAAGAAGGATATCAGCTGATAGTCCTTCTCTGCTCTATTGATTTCTTTGCAAACAAGTATTGAATTGGAAAGCCCAGATTCAGGTTTTTGAACGTGTTCTTAGAAGAATGCCTTCATCTCCAGACCACTAAGTAGCCCCTGTAAGTAATGAGGTGAAGCTGGTTTCTCTGTGTAGCTGGCAAGGCAAATTTAACTCAATTCCAGCCTATATAATAGGAAGCAGCTGCTGTTGCTTTCTGCTCTGAGCTTGTTCCATCAAGTAGTTGCAGGTGGGCTGGCAGCTCTTTTAAAAGGATGGCATAATGAGTAGGTTCTTGTTGGCTTTCCCATGGCATAGGTTTCAAACTGCATGCTGTGGTCAAGACTGCAGTTCCTGAGGGTCTGAAGATTGTCTTCAGCTTTTGCTTTTCACTGTGTTTAGGGATTAAATTCTTATGCTTTTTCTGACTGCTTCCAAATGACTTCAAGAGGAAAGGTACTTGAAAAGTACAGATCTTGTCTTGCTGCCTTTGTTTATTCTTGTTAAAAGTCTATTAATTACATAACTTCTTTTTATTCTCTTTTTCATAGTTTTCCATCAAAGCAAAGTTCTTCTTTGTATGTCACTTCGGATAGCAATTTCCTGCTAAATATCTAAGGAAGTTCTTGTATCTGTAAAAGTAGATATTAGTCCCCAAATCTTAAATGTTTATGGTGCAGAGAGGAAAAGATATTCATAAAAGTTCTCCTTAAAATATGGCAAACTTTTTTCTGTTGGTTCCAACGTTTTCACAGAGTCATTACTGCAGGCATACATCTTTCTTCTCTCATAGGGAGATTGATTCTTTCATTTTCTTTGGGCTGTGTGCTAAAGTCGAACTGTATTCCTCAGGTGGTCATAGACATTAGGTTAGCACTGGCAGTCTGAGATGCTTTTCTATATGAGAGCTTTTCAATATTATTGGAAAGCTGAGAGACCATCATCCTTCTGCACAGTACTGATAGGAAATGCATTTGGTGCTCTGAAGGAAATAATAATGATTTTTGGAGATCTAGTACTGGCTTTTGCTCTTATTGAAGTCAGCAGAAGCTTTGCTGTTGACTGCTGTGAGAGTTAGATTAGGTCCTTTGTTATTTCATTTTCATGTTTCAACATAGGTGAGGATATATGCTGGGAGACAAACTGGGTTTAATTCTGACTTAGGGTGGAGAGTTCCTGTGGTTAATGTGGAGTGTGACTTTGCATCCTGATGTGTGAATTCTGTATTTTACATTCCCTGAGTTCAAAAAATCACTACAAGTTACAGGTGGTGGTGCAGTGGGAGCAGCATTGGCATGGACCTGGAACGTTTCAAGGGGACAAACTTTTTTTAGTCACCTGGTAATCTGAGTTCTAAAGCTTTGTTGTAAGGTAAGCTTTTGTTCAAACTGTGTTGTTACAGCAACATGGTGAGGATTTATTAGGAGAAGTGTAGGAAATTGATGCTGATAGTATTTTTAGACTCTGGCATGTCAAGTCTTTGGGTATATGATTTCTATTGCTGAAGGTGATGGCATTTCTCTGGCTTTGGTCACTGTATAACTGGCTAAAAATTGCATGGGACAGCATGATTAATGTCTCATGGAATGCTGTGTGTCTAATTTATAATTATTTTCATTGATGTATCATTTCTTACCTGCTGGTGCTATCAGAGCATGGTGGGTTTTGATACTTAGGAGCAGGAAGATGAAATTTTTGGCCAAGAGGGTATGGCAGTTGTGCATCAAACTTTTAAGTAAATGCTGAGTTTAACCACTTCCAGCTGAGGTGCTTTGTGCTGGTGCTCAGAGCCGTCTGTTTCCTACAAGTCTCTTAGATCACAACTGCAGATTTTGGAGTTGTGTGACACTTTCTGGGGTGGGAAGAAAGGCACAGTGATTCTTGCTAGTATGTTACAGACGTGATACAGGGCTCAAAGGGACCTGCTATGGATCCACATAGGGCCAGCTCAGCTTCTGCTACATGTTTTTGTCAACTGATGTGCAGAGAATTCTGAATGTCTTGGTAAGATGGGATTTTCCCTCAGAAAGTTCTGACTATGCATAATTGTGTGTTGCAGGACTGTTCACCTCAACTGAACCTGTGGCTCATGTTGAGGACACCCAGTTGTTTCCTCAGAGCAGTATAGATCCTAAAGATCATTGTGTTGCAAGAGTGCAAAACCAGACTATGGGAGTTTAGGATCTTTGCTGCAGCAGTAATATGGTGGAATTAGCTTCAAATAACCTCCTCTGCTTGCAGGCTTGTGAAACCTTACCAGGCTCGTTTTCTCCTTGCTGTGCATGTGAATTTCTCCTTTATAGGGGCATGGGAGAGGGAAGGGGAGGTTTTGTTCCTTGTGGAAATTCTTGGCGATTTTGTTTCAGTGAAGAGTCAATTAATTGTCATTACTGGAAGGAAGGTTCACTTTTTGCTTTGCAGATCTGGAACTTCTGCTGTATTTCTGAGAGTCGTCTTTTATGTTTATTAGATACTGTGTTCAATTTACAATGATTATGTATAAAGGTTTTATTCTTACATGAAGCTGAGCAAGTGCAAGTACTTCAAGATGATTAAAAACTTCATTCCTTATTTTGGTTTTCCCTAGTTGTGTGTTACAGCACTTTCATTGTAGAGAAAATGGATTCTTTCATTTCCACCCCTATTATGGTAAGCCCTCTAGTTTGCAGCAGTGGTGTAGAACAGGGTATAATGATTCAGCAATATTTTACCAAAACTATCTAAATCATGGGGAAATATCCTGTCGCTTTCCCCTTTCAGATTGTTAGGAGGAGAAGAGAAGCATATTCTTTGCTATTTATCAAATAATGATAAAATAAATATTCTAAAACCAGAATCCTTCAGAAGTGTAGATGGACTTGTTTCCATTGGAAACTGGAAAT